CCCCCAAAACCCCAAAACCCCAAAACCCCTTTAAGGTTATAATAATTGAATATTTTTTGATAACTTCCACCATTAAAATACACAGAATTTTGAAGGAAAATGATTGACATTTCTGATCCAGTCCGTGCTCAGGCAACTATGAAAGAGCAAGCCCAGGAGGCTATAAAAAGCTGAAAATATACGCAGGGTTTTGATGACCCTGATGCACCTGCTGATTACAAAGTTAGTAAGAATACTGATAAAAGTTATTTTAATCATCAGGAAGATGACTATGATGATGACACTACTGATTTCGATATGACCTACCAAACTCCCAATGGACGAGGAGAAGGCTTTGCAGATGGCTATCCTGATCCTAGATGCTCTGTAGGAAGTCAACTAAATGATTTAAAGATGTATAAAGCTGCTAATAAAGACACTATCGAAATTATCGAAGACAAACTCTATTTCCTTAGTTCTGACGATGTTCCTATAATTGACGAGACAGCATTTTATTTCGAAACTGCTAACCTTCCTGAGCTGAAATATGAGCCATATAACCATGATTTTGGCCCACTGAAGCTGAGCCAGATGCATAGATATTGTCTAGAACTTGTGCGGTTACTTCAAGACCCTGATTATAATCAAAATAAAATTTATCACTACTGATCTACAGGATCTGAAGATCAGGCTAACAGTGTATGACTTATTGGGTGATTTATGATCGTTATCCTTGGCAAATCAGCTGACGAAGCATGGCATTGTCTTCAACCATATCACAAAGTACTGAAACCTTATTGTGACTCATTAGATGTCAGCTCCACTTACCCACTGAGCATCTATGATATACTCTGAGGACTCCAGAGAGCTATCTCTCTTGGATGGTACGACTACAGGACTTTTGATGTCCACGAATATGAATATTATGAAAAAGTTGAGAATGGAGACCTCAACTGGATCATCCCAAACAAAATTGTGGCTCTAATGGGCCCGTCTGGCAAGAGACTTGACAAGCAAGGTAACCCTAGTTATACTCCTGAAGATTATCAAGACATCTTCAGAAATATGAACGTTGGCCATATTGTCAGGCTCAATAAAGCCGTTTATCAAAAAGAAAGATTTACTAAACTAGGCTTTAAATTTACTGACCTCTATTTCAAAGATGGATCTACTCCAAGCAGGGAGATTGTACATAAATTTATCGAAATTGTCGAGTCTTCGAAGAAAGCCATCGCTGTGCACTGTAAAGCAGGTCTTGGAAGAACTGGGACCTTAATTGGATGCTACTCCATGAAGAATTACGGCTTCACAGCTTCTGAATTTATTGGTTGGGCTAGACTTGTTAGACCAGGCTCTGTTCTCGGTCCTCAACAACATTTCTTAGAAGAAATTGAAGACGAGTTGAAGCCTCCACCAGTTGAGAATAACAAGTTGATAACCATGGGTTCTATGGACTACTCTCCCAAATATTCCAATAAAAAGAACCTTGAAATGTCTCCGCTCGAAAGACAGAGGAGTGTTTATGGAGACAAAGCCCAGGCAAATAGGCTGATATCAGCAAAGAAAAGTAGAAAGATCGAGACATAAAATAAATTTTAGTTAACTTTCTTTAATAATTTATTCGCAATTCCTTTCTATGAACAGATTTGGACTAAATTTCAAACCCAAAGAATTTAAATTCCAGAATTTGAATCTTGGTGGGAGAACTTTGAACTATATTTTATTCGAATCCTAAGAACTTTCATAGCTTAAAATTCTCAGCAATTTTAGAATAGAAGAAAATTTTGGGAAGGGTTGCAGGAAATATTCAGCTCACCAGTTCCCTAACTAAAATCGTGTTTTGGTAAGGCCATTCTTGGAGAAATTATTTTCAAGTGAAAAGAATACCGTCAAAGTTATTGTAACTAATTTTTGGTTAAATTTTAATAGAGATATTCATACCACAGAGTCTGGAAACTAACAATTTTAGACTATTCTTCAGTAGAATCAAAGGAAGGTATGGTCTTATAAGCTCTTATAGCTCCCGAACAGCTGATACAACTCCAAGTCAAACTTCTTACTAGATACTTGACTTATACACGTGTTCATATTTTCAATAAAGGAATAAATAATAGGGGTTTTGGGGTTTTGGGGTTTTGGGG